ACTACTTCTACTACTACTACTACTACTACTACTACTACTACTACTACTACTACTACTACTACTACTACTACTACTACTACGAGGGGCCCGAACGACTCGCACCAGGACGAGGTGCCCGAACGCCTCACACCACGAGGAGCCCGAACGACTCACACCAGGACGAGGGGCCCGAACGACTCACACCACGAAGAGCCCGAACGACTCACACCAGGAGGAGGGGCCCGAACGACTCACACCAGGACGAGGCGCCCGAACGACTCACACCACGAGGAGCCCGAACGACTCACACCACGACGAGGGCCCCGAACGACTCACACCACGAGGAGCCCGAACGAGTCACACCAGGAGGAGGGGCCCGAACGACTCACACCAGGATGAGGGGCCCGAACAACTCACACCACGAGAAGCCCGAACGACTCACACCAGGACGAAGAGCCCGAACGACTCACACCACGAAGAGCCCGAACGACTCACACCAGGAAGAAGGGCCCGAACGACTCACACCAGGACGAGAGGCCCGAACGACTCAAACCACGAGGAGCCCGAACGGCTCACACCAGGACGAGGGGCCCGAACGACTCACACCACGAGGAGCCCGAACGACTCACACCAGGAAGAGGGGCCCGAAGGACTCACACAAGGACGATGGGGCCGAACGACTCACACCACGAGGGGCCCCAACGACTCCCACCAGTCGTCGTCGTCGTCGTCGTCGTCGTCGTCGTCGTCGCCGCCGCCTTCGTCGTCGTCGTCGTCGACGTCGTCGTCGTCGTCGTCGCGGTTGTGGTCGTCGTCGTCGTCGCGGTCGATATCGTCGTCGTCGTCGGGTGCGTCGTCGTTGTTAGGATCATCGCTGTGGTCGTCGTCTCCGCTAAATCCCTCTTGCCTCCCACCGCTTTCTCTCCCTCCTCCTCCGCCTCGTCCTTCTCCCGCTCCCACCACAAGGAGGATGTACAAGGAGGCGGGAGGAAGGAGGAACAGGGGAGGTATGCGGGGGCAGGCGGAAACACGCCTGAAAAACACGACTGTCGGCATGCTTCGCAAGAGTTGCTGATTTGAGATGGGCTGGTGGGGATACGCGAAGCGTGAAGAATTGGAATAGCAGGCAGGAAAATCTGAACTGGCTTGAGATTGCGCGGCATTCCCAACAAGATATTTTGAGAGGGGAGCGGGGCCCCAACACGCCGGCGTATACTATGGAACTCTCGTTTCGAGGCGAATTGAGAAACATTGAGACGGATTGAGAGAAATTGAGATCGTTTGAGAGAAATTGAGATATAATTCTCCGCTCAAGCCGTGGATTAAGAGAAATTGAGACGAGAAAGGCGGTCCAGTTGAGGACAATTGAGACCGTTTGCGATGTCCAATGGAAGTTTTCGGAAGGGTTTGATGGCAATGCGATTTAGGAGCATGAGGAAAGCAGCAGAAGGATGGGCGGCAGGAGAAGCAGACGGCGAGGACCCGATGGCCTGGACCATGGCAACTGGAGCCAAAGCATATTTCCCAAACGAGGGCAAACGATGGAGGATGCACACGCCACAGGGCCTTGTGCTCGTTAGGAGCGCGCTAGAATGCCAAGGGCTGCCTGGCAGGGTTTCTGCAAGTCTTCTCAGGGGCTGCCCCCGCCCCTCTCGCCGCAGAGCGCCGCATGCATCGGGCCCCGCTTCCCCAGTGAAGAACAACAAATATTCGCTCCCGCAACAAGGATCCTCCGTGGAAGTACATCAGGTCCACGCTCTCGCGGCTACGATTCCTCGCAAATTTGCCTGGAGGTGGCCCTCACCATCTGCAGTTGTGGGCTCCGCAATTATGAATATTTCACCTTCGATGGAGCTCCATACGGGTCCACGAAGCGCTGTCCTGGGTGGGGGAACCGCATGCGAGTGCAGCCATTGGGGCCTTCGGTGGACCTCCCGATCGAGCCGAGAAACGCGGCCCTGGGCAGGGGAACCGCATACGAGTGCAGCCATTGGGGCATTGGGTGGAGCTCCCTACGCGGCCACGAAACGCTGTCCTGGGTGGGGGGGACCGGATCCGAGTATAGCCACCATGGCCTTCGGTGGAATCCCCGCTTGAGCCGAAAAACTTGGTCCTGGTTGGGGGGACCGCATGCGAGTGCAGCCACTTGGCCTTCGATGGAATTTCCGATTGAGCCGAGAAGCGCGATCCTGGGCGGAGGGAACCGCATGCGAGTGCAGCCACTGACTGGGGCCTCGTCGGAGCTCCCGACGGGGCCACGAAGCGCTGTCGTGGGCGGAAGGAGCCGCATGCATGTCCGGCCACATGGGCCTTCGGCGGAACTCCCGATGAGGCCACGAGGCGCTGGCGTGAGTGCTGGATCGCATTCGAGTGCAGCAACAGGGGCCTTCTGCGGGGCTCCCTATGGGGCCGCGAAGCGCTGTCCTGGGTCGGACGTCCGAATGCTACTGCAGCCACCGGAGCCTTCGGTGGAGCCCATATATGGGGCCACGTAGCGCTGTCCTGGGTGGTGGAACCGCATGCGAATGCAGCCACCACGGCCTTCGGTGGGGCTCCCCATGGGGCCACGAAGTGCGGTCGTGGGTGGGGACGCGCCTGCGAATGCAGCCTCCGGTGGAGCTCCCGACGGGGCCACGAAATACGATCCTAGGCGGAGGGGATCGCATGCGAGTGCAGCTGCTCGGGCTCTAAGTGGAGCTCCTTTTCGGGCTACGAAGCGCCGGCCTGCCCATGCTACTGCAGCCGTTGGGGCTCTCGGTAGAAACCCGTATGGCGCCACGAAGCGCAATCCTAGGTGGGGGAGCCGCAAACGAGTGCAGCCACTGGGGTCTTCGGCGGAGCTCCCTACAGAGCCACGAAACGTTGTCCTGTGTGCGGGAGACGCACGGTGGAAAACGGAGAAAAGAGAAGGGGGCGAGGAGGTGAGGAGGAAGGAACGCGGGGCACTCTCTTCGAAACGAGGACCTAACACCACAAGATGGTTGAGAGAGGCGACGCCGGCGAAAAACAAATTGGGGGATGGCCCCCAGAACCGCTCCCAAACTCGGGCATTCCGAAAACATCTGCCCCTTGACCCAGGGCAAAGAAGATATTGATCCCGCCGGTCTCGTTCCAAAGCGCACAATCGCAATGGCGTGTCCAGACGTAAAAGAAACGCCGATAAACATGCGCCCAGGCCCCAACCGCTTCAGTCACACACAAAGCCAACCCAGAGCGACATCAAGGCGTTTTCAAACTGTCGCATGGGCGAAACTTATGGGGAACATTTCACATGCGCAGGCCGCCTTCCGAGAAACAAAAAGACGATCTCGCGCCAGCAAACGCGCTCAACTTTCGCCCCCCCCCTCGACGCCACCCCCAAGTGGAGCTGAAGGATCTTTCTCCGAAATTGCAGCGACAGAGGGTGCACAGACTGCCGCGTGGCCACGCGCCTAGACCGAATGGCACAGCGCAAGGCGTAAGACTTCGCGGCCGAGGGCACAACAAACGTGTCAGCGTGTCTGAAGCTGCGCACTCCGTGCATCGTGCGTCCGAGAGCCAGGACGCACCGCATACACTAGAACGTGGGACACCAGGTCTTGTTGCCAAGTGAATGGCGCATCTCTGCCCCGATGTCCTGTCAATCGCACTCAACATTGCTACCCCGTCGAGTAGGTGAACGGGCGGCGTGCCACTGGAGAGACTGACAAGTGGTTGTGGCCAGGGCCGCGCGCGGTGTAGAGCGTAGACTGGGTCATTTTTTCTTCCTTGGGGGAGGGTGCGCGACAAGGCTTCCACGCGGCACGCGGCACGACAGCAATAGGTGCCAACGACATGCCTGGGCGTCTCATCCTGGAAAAATACTGGCGTTGGTGGTAGCGAAGTCCCCAGCGAAATCCGCGTCGAGGAAAAAAACAAAACAAAAAGTAAGGCAGCTCGGAATTGCCGAACTGGTAGAAGAGGCGGATGAGACGAAGAACCCAAGCGAACAACGGTCGCGGCGTAGCCGACGTGCTGGCTGCATCTGGACGTGGTGGCTGCAGCACTCGCCAGATTCGTGTCTGGCCGGCTGCGGTCGACAGGCTTGCTGCCCCCGAGCGCCAAGATGGGGATCCTCCTCGATACGGCTCCACTACGACGTGAGCTTCTGCAGCTCGGGCATGCGCAAGGACGAACACGATGTTGAAGCAGGTGGCAGCAGAAGTACTGCTTTTGCTTTGGACGGGTGCCAAAAGTGGTCAGGTAGGTACATCAGCGTTCATTATTCCACTCGTGTGGTGCGACGCGCTCGCAAGGACAGCCAGCACAGTCACACACATCACGAGGCACGGCACTAGCCCAGGGAGGAGCATCGCACTCATGCCCGACGCGAAGCTGCGGCCAGTGCCTGTGGGGTGCGATGGGTCGGGGAACGTCGTGGCGCTCCCGTGGGCGAGCCGTTCCACGCCGCGAAAACGCCTGCGGTTGCTGTTGGCCTGCGCACATGGACGTTCGCACGTCTCATAAGGCATACGGCGTTTATCGTCACCGTCACCTGTGACCGTCCCAATCGAATTACCAGACGGTTCGCAGAACAATCGTAAGCACAGGCTGTTCGTGGGAAAGAGGGTGGTACCGATGAAGAGGTTGGGGAATGTGCGCATGTGCATCCACGTCGCTCTATGCGCAGTCCCGTAGATCGCGAGCTGGGATCGCTCAAAAACTCCGCTGCCAAGTAGAATTGCGGGCGACAGAGGCGAAAGGTAAAAGACATGGCTGCACCGGTAACATAACAAATAGCACACCGGCGGTTTCCCATTTCAATATTAAACAAATTCGCGGGCGCGCTGTGAGACACACGGCAGCGGGCCCCTCTTATTCGAGCAAATTCGAAGGAGGAGGAGGAGAATCAGGAGGAAAAGGAAAAGGAGGAGGAGGAGGACGACGAGGAGGTGCAGGAGGAAAAGGAAAAGAAACTGAACGAGAACGAAGAGCCCTCTGCCCCAACCCCAAGGGGCGGCAGAAAAAACGCGGGGCACAACGCGGCAGGGAGTTGCCGAGGCCTGGCCGCGGCAGCGAAAACTGATTCACGCTGTTCGGCGGGTCGGCCAGGCCGCAAACCTGGGGGAGGCTCGGATAGCAAAACCGACATCCCATGAAACAACAACACATGACGAACGAACACCACACACACACACTCCCTAGGGGGGCGCGCGTTGTCGGATGGGGGGCCCCGCTCGAACGGGGGCCTCCCCCGCGGTCCGCCAACCCCATTGCCACTCCTCCTCCCTCCGAGCCCCCAACGGGTTATGGGCCAGTTCGTCAACACAAACTTTTTGTCGGCGGCGGCTTGGGTCCAAGACGCGGTCGGGGCAGCCGAGGGGCGCTTCGGGGCCGAAGTGGGCACAACAGGAGAAGGACGGGCGTGGGGTGGGGGAGAAGTCGAAGGGGGGCGGAGCACGCTCAGACCGTAAAGAAATTGTACGTGTGTGCCGGAGCACAGACTCACATGGGCAGCGAGCGAGGAATGGCAAGGCGAACATGCGTACTAAGGCGCAGCCAAGTCAAGCGAGCACGTAAAATCCGCCGACCCCTTGTGGGTCTCTAGGCGTGTGAGATGTTTCCCCCCTTATACCCCCCTGGGGGACCCAAAACTGAAAATTACCCTGGCGACGTACCCAACCCTTGCGCAACGCGGGGCATAAGTACATCAGGTTGCTACAATGGGGGCGATGACGTAACATGGACGCATGTGATTTTGCGAGCGGCAATCGGAAGGCTCGCAGGCACCCGATCAAGATATAAGGGCTACGTAATAACCCATCAACCCCGTTGGCTGTGCCATGCGCCCGTTGCACCCAACGTGTCCCACAGCAGCTCTTCAGAGCCCCCGCGGGATACGTGTAGGCGCAACGTTTTGGCCATCGACCGGAAGATGGTCTGTTTCACAAATCACCCCCGTTGGCTGTGCCATGCGCCCGTTGCGCCTAACGTACCCCACAGCAGCTCTCCAGAGCCCCCCCCCAGGGACGGCGAGGTATCGCTCAGGTCCCCGAGGTGCCTCACTCCGCTGGACCCACCAGCAGCCCTCGAAAGCGCAGATCGCAGCCCCCCCAGGGACGGCGATGTCTCGCTCAGGTCCCCGCGGTGCCTCACTCCGCAAGACCCACCAACAGCCCTCGAAAATTGCGACCGTGTCGCAGATCGCAGCCCCCCCAGGGACGGCGAGGTCTCGCTCAGGTTCCCGCGGTGCCTCACTCCGCTGGACCCACCAGCAGCCCTCGAAAGTGGCGACAGCGTCGCAGATCGCAGCCCCCCAGGGACGGCGAGGTCTCGCTCAGGTCCCCGCGGTGCCTCGCTCCGCTGGACCCACCAGCAGCCCTCGAAGGTGGCGACCGTGTCGCAGATCGCAGCCCCCCCCCCAGGGACGGCGAGGTCTCGCTCAGGTCCCCGCGGTGCCTCACTCCGCTGGACCCACCAACAGCCCTCGAAAGTGGCGACCGTGTCGCAGATCGCAGCCCCCCCCCAGGGACGGCGAGGTCTCGCTCAGGTCCCCGCGGTGCCTCACTCCGCTGGACCCAGCAACAGCCCTCGAAAGTGGCGACCGTGTCGCAGATCGCAGTCCCCCAGGGACGGCGAGGTATCGCTCAGGTCCGCGCGGTGCGTCACCCCGCTGGACACACCAGCAGCCCTCGGAAGTGGCGACCATGTCGCAGATCGCAGCCCCCCACGGACGGCGAGGTCTCGCTCAGGTCCCCGCGGTGCCTCACTCCGCTGGACCCACCAGCAACCCTCGGAAAGTGGCGACCGTGTCGCAGATCGCAGCCCCCCAGGGACGGCGAGGTCTCGCTCAGGTCCCCGCGGTGCTTCACCCCGCTGGACCCACCAGCAGCCCTTGAAAGTGGCGACCGCGTCCCAGATCGCAGCCCCCCCCCAGGGACGACGAGATCTCGCCCAGGTCCCCGCGGTGCCTCATTCCGCTGGACCCACCAGCAGCCCTCAAAAGTGGTGACAGTGTCACAGATCGCAGCCCCTTTGGTAAGATGCACACACATAAGAGGTACCGCAGCCAGGATGCACACACACACACACACACACACACACACACACACGCGAGGTACGCACACGACAAAAGGAGACAAGAGGAAAGCGAGAGACGAGAGGCGGGGGGCGGGAGGACTGGAGACCGCAGTGCTTTATGTATTACCCTGGCGACGTACCCAACCCCTGCGCAATGCGGGGCAGGAGTAGCTTGGGAGACTTGACGAGAAAGCGGCGACGTGACTGCGAGCGGCATTCGGGAGGTTCGCAGGTCCCCAATCAAAGGAAACACGATGAGTCACTGAGGAAGACGCAAGGTCCAAGAGGAGACTGTGGGCAAGGGGCTTGAAACGTCGGCGGGGCAGCAACAACATGACATGGCCGCCCAGGGACGGCGAGGTCCCGCTCAGGTCCGCGCAGTGCCTCACTCCGCTGGACCCACCAGCAGTCTTCGAAAGTGGCGACCCCACCAGCAGCCCTCGAAACTGGCGACAGTTTCGCAGATCGCAGCCCCCCAAGGACGGCGAAGTTTCGCTCAGGTCCGCGCGGTGCATCACTCCGCTGGACCCACCAGCAGCGATGCCAGCAGCCCTCGAAAGTGGCGACCGCGTCGCAGATCGCAGCTCCCCAGGGACGGCGAGGTCTCGCTCAGGTCCCCGCGGTGCCTCACTCCGTTTCACCCACCAGCAGCCCTCGAAAACGGCGACAGCGTCGCAGATCGCAGCCCCCCAGGGACGGCGAGGTCTCGCTCAGGTCCGCGCGGTGCCTCACTCCGCTGGACCCACCAGCAGCCCTCGAAAGTGGCGACCGTGTCGCAGATCGCAGCCCCCCAGGGACAGCGAGGTCTCGTTCAGGTCCGCGCGGTGCCTCACCCCGCTGGACCCACCAGCTGCCATCGAATGTAGGGACAGCTTCGCAGATCGCAGCCCCCCAGGGACGGCGAGGTCTCGCTCAGGTCCGCGCGGTGCCTCACCCCGCTGGACCCACCAGCACCCTTCGAAATGGGCGGCAGTTTCGCAGATCGCAGCCCTCCAAGGACGGCGAGGTCTCGCTCAGGTCCGCGCGGTGCCTCACTCTGCTGGACCCCCCAAGAGCCCTCGAAAGCGGCGACCGTTTCGCAGATCGCAGCCCCCGATCGCCGGCGAAGAGAGGGCAGGAGGCGGGAGGCGGGAGGAGGAGGAGGAGGGAGAGGGACGCGACCACAGTGCTCTATTCAAAACGAATACCCAACCAATCAGGGTTGGGAAAAACGAATACCCAACCAAGGAAGAGTTGGGAAAAATGAGCGGTCGTTCGAACGACGTTTCGTAATCTGATAACGAGTGGCCATTTACCAAACGGGCAATCAACGAAACCGCCCCCGATTGACCATGTGTCACTGGGGGGTAAGGGATGTCCCATTGTCAAATGGCGAGCCAGGCTTCCCGAAGTCCCCCCTAACAGTGGCGCCCCCTCAATTGGGCGTTCGGAGCTCATTTCCCGCCGCTCCAGCTTGGTCCCCCGATTGGAAATTCGACAAAGGGCGACCCCATGTCAAATGGCACACCAGGGGCCCGCTCGGCCCTCCCAGTGCACATTCGATAATCGGGCCCCGTTGTCAAATCGCCATTCGGGCCCCCCGAGCGGACCCCCGAATACTGGATCCCCCTGTCAAACGACCATGCGGGTTCCCCCTTCCGCTGGATTCTCCGAACTTCACTTGGATCCCTCTGGATGCAGTCAAATTATTCAGCTTCCGTTGAGTTATTTTACATTGTCGTCCCTGTGGGCTCCTCAGTTTCTCCAGATGTTTCGGGATTCCTCTTCGCTCCCGTAGTTTCCTCTGGATTCCTGCAGATTCCTCGACATTCCTTTCGATTCCCCTCTGATTTCTCAGAACTCCTTCAGATCCCTTCAGAATATTCATGTTCCCTCCCGCTCCCACAAAGATTCGATCGGAGGCCTTTGGATTCCCCCGGGCCCCTTCGGAATGCTCAAAATGCTCTGGGTTCCCATGGGATCTTCCAGATTCCTCGGGATTCCTCGGGGCTCCTCCAGATTCCTCAAAACTCTTCCAGGTTCTTCGATATAAAACATTCGAGGGTCCCTCCCGATGCCTCTGCGCTCTCGTGGAGCACTCAAGTTTCCCAGATTCCCTGGGAATACTCCCAGATCCCGCGGGTTCTTGAGGACTTCCCCAGATTCCCCACAATTTTCCAAATTCCTCAAGATCCCTCTGGGTTCGTAAACGTCCTACGGGTTCTTCGTTCTTCCGCGTCCAGGGCACCCCCGGATGCGAATTCGACAACGGGGCCCCGCCGGCAAACGCCCATTCGGGCCAACCCCCGTTGGATTCGACCAAGATCCTCTGGATTCCTCTGGGCGCCTGCCAACTGCTCCAAATTCCACGGGTTCCTTCGAAAATGATTCAAGCCTCCTCTGGGCCCCTGTGGACCCCTCAAAGCCCCTGCAGACCCCACCCGATTCATCGTCATTTCTTTGGGTTCCTCGCGAGCCACGATTCCTCGGACGCCTTGTCGATTCTCCGCTGACTGCCCAGGATTTCTCCAGACGCATGCAGGCCCCGTAGGTTTCCTCCAATTTCCAGACGATTCGGAGGTTCCCCAGAGACCCAGGATTCCCTTGGAATATTCAAAAATTCCCAGGCGAAGGCGGACCGAGGGAGGCGGCCCATTCTCCCGCGCCGTGCAAGCCACAGGCGTTCGCGCGGAAGCCGCGGCCGACGCGCACGAAAGGGGTGTTAGAGTGGCCGGGCCCCTGGGCGCGCGCGCAGGCCGAGCGCCGCCGCTCGGGGGAAAGGGTTCACCCGCGGCGTCGGCAGCCACGAAAGGAACGGGGGGAAGAGGGCGGGGGGCGGAGATACCGCAGAACACTGAGACGCGCGCGGCGACGGGAGAAGAAGGAAGATAATCCCCCCCGCGCCGCGCAAGCGGAAGGCGTCGGCGCGGAGACCGCGGCCGACGCGCGCGAAGGGGGGCCCGAAGTGGCCGGGCCCCCGAGCGCGCGCGAGCGATGCCCAGCCTTCCATTGATCCCCCATCCAAGAACTTCCTCTTCAAGAGAGCCCGCGGCCACCTCGCGCGTCGGAAGGCCCCGGGGCCGCCGCGCTGCATCGACCTCCCGCGCGAGCCGCCCCACCGTCGCATGGAGCGTGCCCAGCGCCAAAAAAATATGAACATTCACGGCGTGGCACGCAGGGGTGGTCGCAGGCGCGGGCCCTCGTTCGCGCGGGAAGGAGGCCTTTTCGAGGCGCGGAATGTCCTGGATGATCCGACGATGCAAGGTTTGGCAGACCCGAAGCGCGCATGACCATCCCACGAGCAGCACTCGAAGCTGGGGGTGCACTGGGGCGCCGGGGCCCACTCCCACACCGCCCACCTCAGCAAGCCCGGCAGTCCAGGCGGGCACTGCCGGAAGCGCGAACAGGTCGCGCAGGCGGCGCGGCAGCTCGAAGTGGTAGAAGGCATCCTCGATGTCCACATGCCCGATGTAGAGCGGAGCCCCAGTGGCGACCTCGAGGCTTCCGAGGCCAGCGCCGGCGCTCAGCTCGACGGGGTCCGCGGCCGCGAACCAGCAGTTGGAGCGGCGGCAGTCGACGACCAGCCGCTGGCCCCCGTTTCTGCCCCCCACACAGAAGAGCGAACAAAACTCCAGCGGCTTGGTGGTGTAGTCAACCACGCAGGCCCTCTCGAGACTCTTGACCAACCGCTGGCACTGGCAAAGAGAGTTGCGATGCACCTCGCCCGCGTAGGTCCCCCGAGCGGCCCCCTTTCAGGTCGAGGGAAGCTGCTTCTTGTTCGAGAGGATGAGCGTCGATAAACCCGTCGACTTCAGCTCGACCACTGGCCCCGGAAAAGATCTGCCAAGGGAACGGGGCGATGGCCGCTCGCCAGCAAGGAAGCATTATTGCAATCGAAAGGCAACGCGGTGGACTGGCCATCCTCGCACACCGCGCACCCTCGGAGCTCCTGCGGGGCCCCCGAGGGCGCCAGCGCAGGTGGCGGACCCATCGCCGCGGCGGCAGCATATACACGTCGCTGCACAGCAGAGCGCGGGGCACGCCCTTCGCCAGGTAGCTGAGCCGAAGACCCCAGCTGGCAGCCTGCCAAGCCGTCGAGAGTGAAGATTGCCTGGCTGGCCAGATCGGCGACGGCCCGGCGCTCCTGGGCGCGACGCCCCACGCGCCCAGCCATCCCCGGTCGATGCTGAGCTCGAAGAGAAATCGGCACCAGCCACACTCCAGGCGAGATGAGGAAGAGGAAAGGTGCCACGCTGGCGCGGACCATCTGGTCGCCGAGGCCGCGCTGGCTCATCCAGACCAGGGGGCACAAGTCCAGGCAGTAGACTATGAATTCAACCTTTCTCAGACACCGAAAGACGCACGCCAGGAGATGGCGTCGGGGCAGGAGGGCTACGCTGGCGCCCCTCCTCCCCGGGGCTCTCACACCTTGTCCTTATCCTTAGGTTTGCCCTTGTTGTCCTTCCGCCTCAGCCCCCTCTCCTCCTTGGCCTTCCGGATGTTTTTGTTTTGTCACGATGGCGGCGCCCTTCTCTACCCTGCGTCCCCCTCCATGATATTGTAATGGCATGCCCACCCCATGGTCTGGATCCTCCGCGCGGCCGCCTCCATGCAGGCCAAACTCGCAACGCCCAGCTGGTCGAATTGCCCTGCAAGCTCTATGATACGAAATAGAGTTTCGTGCACGGCTACCCCCCACTGCCCGGGCTTCAGGGAGCACGTGCTGCGGAACATCAGGCGATGGTTCATCGGGGGGGGGCGGCGACGCAGAAAATGTTGGTACCAGCTCATACTACGGGCGCCGCTAACTGGGAAGTCGGAGAATTCCTCCTGCTGGCATCTGTCCACCACATCTCGCCACTCACGCAAGCGGCCCTGCGGGTTGTACTCGATGAAATTGATCGAGAGCGTCCGCGCATCCAGCACGGGCGGGGCCTCAGCAGGCGCCCGCGGCGTTACACGCTTGACGAAATCCGCCTGGCCCTTGTCGCTGAACTCCACGAACACCGCTTCCTTGCCACCCGGGGAATACACGCCCTTGCTTCCGACGAACATCGTCACAGGTTTCACCGCCCAGCCCGCAGCGCAGCCCAGCGAGATGCCATCCTCGACCACTCGCCAGACGCCTGAGCCTGGAGCGGCAGTCCTTCCGACCACACTCCCGTCAGCGTCGCCGTTGTCATGGCCTCCCCCCCGAAGCGCAGGCTGCACAAATCCTGCGCCCAACAGTTCTCCGATCGGCAAATTCCGGCCGCCTGGCACCCTCACCACGGTCATCGAAATGGGGGTCTCGCCAAGCTGCTTGGCACCCTTGAGCGCCAGCGTCGCCACCTTCCGCACGCACTTTTCCTGATCCCGCCTGAACGCGCACACGGCGTCCTGGAAACTGAGAGCGCTCGACCGTCAGGGGCGCGGCGCATCCACTCCACGGGGCTATCCTCGGGACTCCCTCCCTCGATCGTCTCCACGTGCATATCTCCATCGGGTGTCGCTACCACCCAGTGGACTCCGCCGCGGCTGTCAACGGGCAGCCCCCAGCACAGCACTCTCTCATGCCAAAGGTCGTCCGCGGCGCATCGGACTAGGACCACGTCCCCCGGCACGAGCTCGGACGATGATGCCACGGCCAGCATGCTGTCCTCGGTGAGCGCACACCTGCGTCAGGCAGGCCACTGTCCCGGCCCCCACTGCCCAGGGCCCGACGGAGATCAGCGCGACGAGCCGCGCCGTCAGGCACAGCCCCGCGCGGGCCTCGGCGCCCGCGTCCTCGCGGGCCGGCGAGGGGCAAAGCACCGCCTCCTCTCGCACCAGCGCCTCGCAGGCAGGGCAGGAGGGCGCCGCGCAGGTCACCTGCGGGCAAGTCAGCGCCGGCAGCGCAGGGGGCGCCGGGCAGGTGAGCGAGACTGGCGGACAGCTCAGCACAGGCGCTGGGCACCCCGGCTGCGGCGGGCAGGCGGGGCAGCGGCCCAGCCACGCGCCACCGATGTTCGACGCCCAGATCGCTGCCTGGGCGACCTGGGCGACGACCATGCACCAGCCCTGAAGCGTCGCGAGGCCGCGCGGTGTTGCACACGAAAAAGGCTTGAGCAGAGGTAGCCACATACGGCGGACGGCTTACAAGGTGGGCTTCAATAGAAACTCGTGTGGAACACTGGAATACTATGATCCACCTCTCGGGCCACAGGGTGGGCAGATACACAGACATGCCGCCGACCCCCTGTGGGTCTTCAGGGGTGTGAGTGAGATGTTCCCCCTTCCCTCGCACTTCCCCAAACAAGACCCCAGTCCAGCGTGTGGACATGTGGGCATCGTGTAAAGGTGCATGCATCCACGAGAGTCAAGCCGGTACAGGAGCACATGATACCAGGCCCATACCAAAACGAGACCCCACACCCAAACAGGCACGGGACGCCCGAAACCACTCAAACACTCGGACTTCCATGTTGCGTGCAAACGCCTCCGTCCAATGTCGCATCCTACATCAAACCTCACGGCGCGCAAACGCCCCAATACCAAATGTATGGTAAGGGGTCGGCGGATGTTTCGCAAGCCTGTAGAATCAGGTCAATCCAAGCCCAGTCAAGTCAAATCAAGCCAAGTCGAGCCAAATCAGATCAAATCGAACCAAGTTAAATCAAGTCAAGCCAAATCAAGTCACAGTCAAGTCATGTCAAGTCAAGTCAAGTCAAATCAAATAAAATCAATGTGCGGCCCCGCCCTGACTAGGTCTGGACAATGCCTCCCACCCTGCGTGCGATTTCGCTAAGGGTTCCCGCCTCATTAGCCGTTTCGCCCCCCTTCTCAGCAGTCCGCGCATCGTATGAGCCATGGTGCAGGGCCAGCGCAGCAGGTCCCCTGGCCCTGAACCTGTAGGCTCGTCGTCGAGTGCATCAGGGGGGGCGGTCAATGCTCATGGAGCATGGAGCGAGCCAGGCTGCCCTGGTGGGCGCGGCAGATACTCCAGGCAGCGCAGTAAGACGAAGCCAGGACGAGGATAAATTAAGTGTTAAGTGAGGATAAATCGAGAATCCCTGAGATCGGGCGGCTCTGGAGGATGTCTCGGGCGCCGCGGCCTTGTCAGAGCGTTCAGGAACGCTCTGGAACGGAGTTATCCTCGTCCCAGCCCAGTCCGACGCAAGGCCCCTTGCCGCACCTCCAGACCTCGAGGGAGCAGCTGCGGGCATTCCTGCGGGTGGTGGACACGGCCATCCAGGAGCAAGAGGAGGCGGAGAAAGGTGGCATCGATGCGACCACGACCCCGGCAGAACAGTGGCCTCCCTGGCTTTCCCTGGGCAGCTCTCGGCCAAAATCAAATCGGAAGGGGCCTCGTGCCCAGGCCGTCTTCACCCGGCTACACTCAGGGACGACGATGGAGGCGAATAGCCCACGGGAGAGCAATACGTGTATCCAAGGGCGCCGATGGTCCATGCTTTCGGCGAGGCTCCCGGGCGAACACATGTAACGCCCGCCCCTGGGCTATTCGCCCCTGTCGCCGCCCCCGATACACGTACGAAGGCTGGGCGGACCAGGAAGGCTGGGACCCCCCGCAGCGGCCAGGCAGGGAGCAAGTACTGGCGCGTCAATGGGGCAAATGGGGAAGCCGATGGCGACGGTTTTCACGACCTGCAGCCGCGCGGGTCATGGAGGGCGACCTCGCTGCTGTCCTTGGGCGGGCCGGGTGTCTGCGGGGCGCAAAAGCCTTTGTCGGCGGACGCTGGATCCCGTGGCCTTCGCCCCAGGCATCCATGAAAAACCTTCGCAATCGAACCTGTAATCGCGCCAGGTGGAGATCACTAGTTAAACGGCACGCACGGCGTGCCCACCCTCTCCTGAGGAGCGGGCCTCCCAGCGGCCCAGCCCGACAAGACAGAACAGAGAGGGGGGCGGGGGGAGGCGGGGAAAAGCGACGGGAATGGAGAGGGTTCATCAGTAGCCTCGCGCATGTGGCAATATATTTGACCATCTCAACATCCCCGGGACGACGACGACGACGACGACGACGACGACGACGACGACGACGACGACGACGACGACGACGACGGCGCGCGCACACCCACACACACACACCCACACACACACACAAACACGCACACACACACACACACACACACACACACACTTGTTGGCGTCGCGGCCCCGCGCGCGGCCACGGGGCGGAGAAAGCGCACACACACACACACACACACACACACACACAAACACACACACACACAAACGCACACACACACACACACACATACACACACAAAACTGTTCGGCGTCGCGGCCCCAATCGCGGCGACGTGATCCAATGCAAGCAGCGGAGCACGCGCGTCTACGCCTGGCCGAGCTCTCCAAAACCGTCTATGATCTCGCAGCCGGCAGCAACCGCAACCATCTGGGATTGGATGGCGGGGAGGGGCGATGTCAAGAAACAACGGCGAAGGCAAAACGTGACATCAGCCAACGGGGACTGAAGGCGGGTAGAACGAGTAATTTAGAGTGGACCGACGAAGGAATGCGTCAAGCAGCGACGAAATTTAGAGTGGACCGACAAAGGAGCTGAAGGCGGCGGAATTGCAAAAACCCGCAGGCTGGACGACCCGCGAAAGCCTGCGGGGCCGGGCGGCGCGCCGGAAACGGCGGCGGCCGAGGGGCAGTCCGTGAAAGAGCGGCCTGGGAAGCCCCCCCAGAAGGGGGGGCCCGCAGGGAGAGCGGCAGGGAGCGGGGGAGGGGACACATACACACACACACACACACACACACACACACACACACACACACACACACACGCACACACACACGCACACACACACACACACACGCGCACACACACGCACACACACACACACACACACACACGCACGCATACACGCACGCATGCACGCACAAACAAACAAACAAACAAACAAACAAACAAACAAACACACACACACACACCTTTCAGGCGGCGCAAAGGAGCAGGCGCGGTCGGCAGGTGGAGGTGCCAATTGCGAACGAACTTGGTCGAACGCGCCATGATGAAATAATCCAACCACGGCCATGCAGATTGGTTGTGGAAACAAGGGGGCGCAGCAAAGCCAGGATGTAGCGGCCAACGTACCCGCAGAGCGAAAGCTCAACGCAAGGAGTTGAGGCGCAAGCAGCTGTTTGGTGCTAATTGGAGCCTCGAGAGGCGACAAAATAAGTGTAAGGCTGCGACGCAAGCGCGCAAGGTGCGCTACAAAACGACGCCACCAGCTTTGCAACAAGCACGACAAGAGTGTCGTGCAGGAGTGCAAGAAGTCGGCATGCTAAAGATGAACACGCGGCCGAGGCTAACATAACCTTGACCAACCACAGCGAACGGAGCTGGACGTGGGCGACCGCGAGCAGCAACCGCTTCACGCAGTGGCGCATATAGGTGTTAGACAGCGCAGGCAAATCCATGGGTGATAGACAGTCGCGTGCGTGGCCAACGTGCAGTGCAGACGCCGCCGTTAAAACAGCAACTCCACCGCAGCCAAAGCCGCGAAGAGCTACCATGAGTAGGTAGAGCTAAAACAAACATATCGACAACCAACTAGTCACAATGATAACTGTACGCGTCACCTCAAGGTCGCACCACTACACACACACACACGCACACACACACACACACACACACACACGCATATATATATATATATATACACACACGCACACGCATTCTCCCTCTCTCTCACACACACGCACGCACGCGCGCACGCACGCACGCACGTACACACACACACACACACACACAACTATATGTTTAATACACTTTTCCGTCGTAGCGGCGCGGCGACTCGCTAGCGCGTCGAGCGCTCCTCGCGGGGGGCGCAGTGTCGGAGAGCATAACATAGTCCAGAGGTGGGGCGGACCAAATCTGAACCATTTTGGCGCAGTGACGCTTGGAGCCCAGGTGGCCGCCCGTAATGAAGTTCTTGCAGGGCTCGCAGCACCAGGCCTGCCTGGACCCACCTCTTGTCCTTCGCCTAGGTGTCCTGGGCGACCTGGACGGACAACGATGCCCATACTTCGAAACGAAGGGAAACCTCGTAGTAGCCGTCGGGGAAGGCCGCGCACGCTGGGCGCACTGTGGTCGTGCGGCGAAGGTGCTGACGCTGCATCCGGGCGATGGGAACAGACGTCATGGCACCTTAGTGAGCTGCTCGAGCTCGGCAGCGGTCTGCCTTATCACGAGGCCGGGGCAGGGAACTCCCGGAGAGAAGGCGGTCTCCGCTCTTCTGGATCCGTGAACCATGTAGTGTGCGTGTGGGGACCCGTGTGGCCTGCGCGCCTGAGGCAATGAGCCCAGTAGACGCCGAAAGTGGCAAGGGCGTCACTCGCGGAGATGTGTCGCCGCCGGGTGGCTTGCCAGGTGGTGTTTAGCAGCATCTGGGCCTGTAGCCGTGCACTGCAATAGCGTCCCGTGCCGGCCCCGTAACAAATCGCTGGGAGGTTGTCCTCGACGACGCAAGCGGCACGGGTGGTGGCAGAGATTTTCGACAGCATGGCGATGCCCCATCTGCAAGCGAATGCCTCGGCCATCTGCGCGTTGTCGACTCCAGGCAGGGCGAGGGTGGCAGCCGCGATTTTGAAGGGGGCGGTGCCGCTGGGGGGGGGCGCCAGAAGGCGACGCCGCCACCCGCGACCTTCTGTCCGCTGGGGAGCCTGCGCGCGCTCCCGTCGAAGGTGACCTCGAACGGCCAGGGTCCCGCGTCTGCGTCAAAAGTGGGCGGGCGTGGGACGGTGATCCCGCGGCCAGCGTCGACCTCAATCAGGGTGACGAGGGACGCGAGATCGACTTCCCACTGGGCGGTGGAGTGCTGGGGCGGGGCGACTTTGGGCCGGGGGAACCGCTGCTTTCGGGCGCAGGGTCGTCGGCGAGATCGTCGTCGATGTCATGGGCGTTGGGTGCACGCGGGGGCGGAGTAAGTCGAAGAGCAGCGGGAGCAAGCGCGCGCGGCTGGGCGCTCAGGCGGGATCGCTTTGGATCCCTGCACGTGCCACCCTGAGGGGTGGGCAGCGCATAGCCGTCGGAGGGCACACACGCACACACACACACACACACATACTTGTTCCTCCAGCGGCGAGGTGGCGACAGCGTTGCGAAACGCTCAGCTGGGCACGCTTGGGCGAGTTTCCAAAACGCACGCACACACACACACACACACACACACACACACACACGCACGCACGCACGCACACACACACACACACAACACACAACACACACAACACACAACACACAACACACAACACACAACACACAACACACAACACACAACACACAACACACAACACACAACACACAACACACAACACACAACACACAACACACACACACACACACAACACACACACAACACACACACACACACACACGCACACACCCGCGCGCCCACACTGAGCTAGATGTTCTTATTTGCCCCCTGACAGCGCAGGAGACCGTGGCCGTTCCTGCGTGCCCCCTGTCCCCGGCCGAGGGCGCCACTGTCCCAAAGGTCGAGTAGACTAAACCGATAGAGAGATTCATCGTGGACGGAAAACACATCCGTCTCCGCTGCCTGGCGGGCTGCACCTCCAGGCTGCGCCCCCGAAAACACGGCGCCCTTTTGTTTGCGGAGGCCCCGCGCGGCACGTTACCGTGCGACCGCGTATCCGCGGCATCGCCCCCCTCAATCCAAACCGCGAGGGCGCGGATACGAACATGTTCGCCGCGCGTGAAATCCCAGTGGTTGCAGGTGCTGGCCAGACAAACTGGCATGCGCCAGCCCACCCTGGGGCCATAACTAGCGCCGTCGACCAGCGCGCAGCTTGCATGTCTTGCCGTGTGCTGCTGCTCTGCTTCTGCTGTTGTGTGCGCGTCCCTGCTCTCCTGCCGCCTCTCTGGTGGTTTCGGCGCCCCGAGCTCTGGCGCTTTTGGCTCCCGGTGGTGAGGCACCACCGAGGCCTGAACGTCATGGCTTTCCCTGAAAAGCCCATGGCAGGATCAATCAGCATGGAATGTGATAAGCAAGGTAAGTACAACTAATCCTTTGAGAGATGACCTAAGTTAGGAGGGTCAGAAGCATTAGGGATGGTAATGTTTGCAGATGTCAGACGAAAACACCCAGATGTCTGCAGGATATCCTTGAAACCCGTGGACCTAAGTCAGGCAAATAAAGTAATCGTGTTATGAGGGTTGGAGGTGATACATGCTTCATGAGAATCGTCACATCGTCACATCGGATCGGGTGGAAATGTGCATCGGATCAGGCTGCCTCGGCACGGAATCAACATCGCATCGGATCGGCTGCGTCAGGATGCACAACGGCGCCACGCAAGCATCGGGCCACATCGGAGCGTCGCAAGATCGGAATCGGATCGGATCGGGCCAGCCGGAATCGATATCAGGTCGAATCGGTCGGATCGAGATAGGCCCTGCCACGGTCGGGGCCTCAGCCCCTGGCTCCCCCTGGCTCCCGCAGGGCTGCCCCAGTCCAATCAGCCACCCCGCCACCCAGCCAACTCGACAGCCCGCCCACCCCCGCCGCCTGCCCTCCGTCACCATCGAGAGGCGGGGACGTGTTTCTGACCGACGAAATCAAAGAAACTTCGTCCATAGCGAATCCAGTTCGACCGCCAATCGCAAACCGAAAGCTGCACCCGTCCCCCACACAACCTCCCTATCATCCGAAGGGTGAGGTATGTTATAGCTGTATCTTCGTTGTGTCTGCTCTTGGTGCCTGTTCCTGACGTCTGTTCTAGATGTCTGCTCACGGCGTGACGCCGTGACGCCTGTCATGTCTGATGCCAGTGCTCAGGGCCCAGCGAGGCGGGATACCCGGGGCACTCAAGACTATTGGGGCCTGGCGGCCGCGGTGTGCGGCTGGCGAGCGAGGCAGGGTACTCGGCACACTCGAGACTACTGGGGCCTGGCGGCACCTGTATGCAAATATTGTAGTCGAGGTGGGGCATTCGGACTACTGGGGACTCGCGGCTGCGTTATTCAGGGCTGGCGGGAGTGCTTCTTATTCAAATGTGACAATCACATGTCGGGTGGAGGACTATGTCAAATTGTCTGTTGGCCCAAATCACCAGATCCGCAAATTGCTAAACGTGTTTTGACTGCTTGCGCCTGGCACAAGATCACGCCGCAAACGCCTACGATATAGCTTCCAGGGTCCACCAAAATCGCGCGATTAAGAGCACGCCCCCAGGAACTGCTAAAACATCCTGGAAGCATCCAGACCCCCCAGAACAGTCCCCACCCACCTCCGAGACCTCCCAAAAACCGCCTCCGAAGGGTTCCGAGGCGTGCTCAGAACGCCCGGGCAGGCGCCAAAACTCCCAAGATTGAGGCCCCCCAAGGCCAGCCTTATGTGATTCCAGGGTCCTCCCAACATGTTTCACGAGGCATACGAGATCCTCCGAACCACCTCCAGGGGCCTTGAAGATCCTCTGAAGTCCCCAGCCCTCCGGCCATCCAGCCATCCAGCCCTAAGGTGATCCACGAGTCCACTGGTGGAGAGCCTGCGACGCAAGGCGCAGCCCTTTAGATATCAAAAGGGTTTGTGTTGTGCCTGCAGAAGTTCGTGCAGCAACTTGCGCTGCGCCCGCATCGATTCTCTTTGCCATCTAGAACTCTCGTACTGATGGAGGAAAGGGTCCTCCGCAGCATGAAAGCCACAATCCCACCAGGCCGGGTTTCACAAACCTGGCACTGGCAAGCAGCAGGCAGCTGCTGCTGAAGCAGCTCACATGCTCATCACGCTTGCGAGAACACGAGCGCCGCGGCGCTGGCTGTCAGGACAGCCATCGAACAGCTAGCCCAGGAAGCAGCGTCGACGACGGAAGGGTCCGTGCAACTAGGAGGGCCAGAATCATTGACCAAATATGTTGTCTTACTGCTCTTGATTTCCGCAAAATTGTTGGGCGCACTGGCGCCGATCTGGCGACGGGAGCAGGTAAACCCCTAGGGAGCAAATATGCAGGACAAATACTTGACCTGTGTAAAGCCCCTACAACGAATCGCCAAGAAGAACATTGAATAACTACTACTGGCTCTATGGGTGTTGCGATTCCGAAGCTTTCCGGCTTAAGATGGCATCGGGAAGGCTCCCGAGAGCCCCAAGAAGGACCCTGAGGGACCCAAGGAGCCCCCAAGACATCCCTGGCCGCAAGGCTGCCCAAGAACAACTCCCCTGGTCCCTTGCCTTAGCCGCCTCCAAGCCCTCCTAAAGCGCGGTAGAGAATATGCGCGGCAGCGAAACTGGATAAAAACTTTACTCTGAGGCTCTGCCCTGCGCTAAGGTCATCAACATCAGTATCGTCATCATGTTCGTCGGCATCATCCGCATCATGGTTGGCCGACTCCGGAAACCCTAAATCCTAAAACAACAGCATCGTTTGCGAACAAACTTTGCTTCTGCCGACTTCCTCCAGATTTCAGCCAGCGTCCGCCGAGGGCGAGATGCCAACTTCTCGATCCGTCGAGGCGTGGCTCTTTCTAGACCGGCAGAAACGTGTGCAGCAAACAAATCACTGGCAGAGTGTGGTTTAGTCTGCCTGAACCTGCCAGCAGCTATGTCGAAGGCCCAGTCACCGTCGCAAATCCCGCTGATGCACTCGAGGTCGTCGTAGCACTCCTCGCCCTGTAATTTGTACCCAGTGATGGGCTCCTGTGGCACCACCATGTCCTTATGACTCTGGTAGAACTCGTCTGCCTTCTCCAAGAAATCGAAAAGGACTTCATCCGTCTCCTTCGCCAGGTTATGCAGGGCGTTAGGGTACGGGAGCATCGTGCAGTCTTTGGCACTATTGCTGCAGAACTGGTCTTGCACCGCATTGACAACAAGCTTGTCTGTGCCATCTGGTGGACCAGACTGCTGCAAAAGGAGCGGAGGCACGATCTTCTTGCCGTCTTGTGCCATGAATCCCTCGAATGTGTCTGCATACAGGTCAAAAAACTCCTTTGCCATGTTGGCTGTTACGCCTCCAACACACAAACCTGTATGTCCGTCATGGCCAAACTCCTCGTACCTTGAGTCGATGCACAAATTCAATCTGCGAGTGCACCTGGAAAGAGATCCAGCCGTACAATCTGACGCATCTGCCGGATACCACTCCTCGAAAGTCTTATCCTTAGTTGGCGCGTATTCCTCTCCTTGGCCGAAGAATACCATTGTCTCGCCAAGGGCAACTGCGACGTCATAAGGAAAAGGGTCGGTGTCAGCCTTGATGAGAGGAGCCTGCAACACCACCGCGTTGAAATACTGCTCCCTACCGGCTCTGTACTCTTGGATCATGTACGTAAGCGACACTGCGCATCCGAGCGAATGGCAATACAAGTAAAACGGTTTATCATTGTTTTCACTTGACTCGGCGAGTTCCTCCCTGACCAAGTCAATAAACGTGCGGCAATCCTTTACGAAGTCATCGCTTGCAACAACGTGGAGTTTGAAATGGTCGTCCAACAACCGGTCACTGGTACCCATGCCTCTGTGCGAGTAAGCAAATATCGGGGAGTAGCCCTCGTCGACGAAATACTTGATGACCTCGTCGTTCGCCACCGTGCTTGCACGATAAAGGAGCATTAGAATGCTTGCTCGTTGCCGCGTAGGACCTCTGAAGCTTTACAAGGCCGCACCCCTGCCCTCTCGGGGCGCCCGCCGATCTAACACGGCCACCCCTCGCTTTGCTCCCCAGCCCTCTCTTCGGCCTCCAGGGGGCTCCAAGACGGGGCAAGGGCCGCCGCAAAACGGCCGCAGGATGCCCGAAGGCCAGCCCAAGACGGCCCCTGCCGCCCCCCAGGACGGCCCAGGACCGCCCGCCGAGAGGCCTTCAAGACTGCCCAGGCGTCCCCAAAATGGTTTCATCGAGCCTCTTCGGGAGAGCCCTGGCAAAAATATCACGCCTGAGGTGGGCCTGGGGCCCTCGACCAACTGGCCCTCAAAAGGGCCCCACGAAGGCCCCAGGAAACCCTCCAGAAACCTCCACGATGCCTTCGAGAGGGAGGGAGAGGAGGGGGGAGGAGGGAGGAAGGAGGCTGACAAGGAAGATTCGGCCAAGGAGGGGGTGTTTGACACCCGCGCCGGTTCAGGCAGGACATGGAACTGGAGCTGGTAGTAATCCAAGCTCCTCCCTGCAGCGCTGGCCTGGAGGCGGGGCTTGCCGCAGGCAGCTGGATAATTATAGAGATTCTCGCCATTGCCGTGAACGACCAACATTGCACCCTTGTCTCCAGTGCCCGTGACAGTCACGTAGTTTAGATACACATCACTGCCATCGTGCTGGACGCCTGACTTAAAATAGCGCCACTGCTGAGCGGCGAACCATTCCTCGACGCTGGAAAAGTTCGTGGCGGGCGTGTCTGCCGTAACCGTGACGGTCGTTTCAGTCACAGTCGTAGTGCGATTCTGCAAACACTCGAGGATACTGGCTTCGGTGCTATTTTCGTCGATGCACGCCAACGCCTCCGTATTACCCGCCCAACATTCCTGGAGTGTCTCGATGATATTAGCCGTGCTGTTGGCCGTACACTTCGACAGAGCAGTTTGCAGGGAACTGCTGGAGAGAAGGCACACGAGGGCGGTGGCTCGCCACATTGGTAGGCAGCGAGACAAACAGGTCAAGCGTGTTAAGTGGGATAGCTTCTGTCACGCTGCAGACCCTGAACCTTGAGCCAAAAAAAACGCATCCACTTGTGTGTACACAATACGTGATTACAAGATACTCGTACATATATGCTTGTGTGCATATGCGGCCGGGCGGCTCCCGCTCATGCCGCAGCGGCCGCCAAAAGGTTCGCCAAGCGTGCCCATGGTGGTGCTAGTGAGCGCGGTCCTCGTTGATCCACCTCCTCGCGGTGCACGTGGTGTGCGGGCAAACGGCCGTGGTAGCCATGAGCTTACGCAGCAGCAGCTGGACGACCTTCGGGAACGCTACGACAAGCTCCTGGCCAGCGAGCACCCTCTGGCGGGGATGCTCCTGCTGCGGAAGGGACCCCTGACAAAGAACCTGAAGTACGTACTCGGATCAAAAAGTTGGAAGAAGTCATCATGGCGTGCGAGAAGCTGGGCCCTGGTGGTGACATGGCCAAGCAGGCGCTGGACTAGCAGTTGTCGCCCGAGAAGCGGCTCGTGTCCCTCAAGTCCGCCCTCACGATCCACACGGTGGCAGGACACAAGTTTGCGCGTGCTGAACCCTCCTCCTCCTCCTCCTTTTTCCCGCCTTTCTCCCTCCTTTCTCCCTCATCCACCCTCCTACATCCTCCTTAAAGAATATCCTTTCTCCTGCTCCTCCTCCTCCTCCTCCTCCTCCTCCTTCTCCTCCTCCTCCTCCTCCTCCTCCTCCTCCTCCTTCTCCTCCTCCTCCTCCTCCCCCTCCTGCTCCTCCTCCTCCTCCTCCTCCTCCTCCTCCTCCTCCTCCTCCTCCTCCGCCTCCTCCTCCTCCTCCTCCGTCCTCCTCCTCCTCCTCCTCCTCCTCCTCCTTCCTCCTCCTCCGCCTCCGCCTCCGCCTCCTCCTCCTCCTCCTCCTCCTCCTCCTCCTCCTCCTCCTCTTCCTCCTCCTCCTCCTCCTCCTCCTCCTCCTCCATCTCCTCTCCTCCTCCTCCTCCTTACTCCTCCTCCTCCTCCTCCTCCTCCTCCTCCTCCTCCTCCTCCTCCTCCTCCTCCTCCACTCGTCTACAACTAGAACCACGCGCGCGTCGCGCGCTTAGGTTCTAGCGAGCCCCAGGCCGTTACAAGTGCACAGATCCTCTGACACTGTTACCCACACATGGCATGAGCATCAAGTACACGGAAGCGTCAAAAAACGCGAGTCGAACAGAGATCAATTACAGACAGTGGCACACCCATACAATGCAATGCGAACCAATGCAAAGTAGCGAAGAGAATGTTCAGATTGGAGTGCCCACACTGGCACTGCAATGCAACACAGTGCCATGGAAACCAGATGCAAGCGCCATGCAGCGAGAAGCATTGCAAGCAAAAGCTTGCAAAAATTATCCCAGTGCGACCCTACCTAGGAGTTGGAGCGTTTAGGAAAGCAAGATCTACATCTACACCGACAGCTACCTTTACATCTACACCTGCATCTACATATACATCTACATCAACAGCGAGACTCACATCTACATATACATCTACACCTACATCCACACCTACATCTACATCTACATATACACCTACATCCACATCTACACCTACACCTGCATCTACATATACCTCTACACTTTCGCATGGGTGTTGCTTCTGATTTGCATTGCATTTGCTTCTGCTCTTGCCTTTGCTTTTGCCTTTGCCGTTGAGTTTGCTATGCTAAGCAATGCTATGCTATGCTATGATATGCTGAGCTATGATATGCTATGCTATGTTATGCTTGGCTATGCTATGCTATGCTATGCTGTGCTAATGCTGCGCTGCACTATGCTGCGCTGCGCTAAGCTAAGCTAAGCTAAGTTACGCTATGCTAAGCTAAGCTAAGCTAAGCTAAGCTCCGCTAGGCTAGGCTAATCTAAGCTAAGCTAAGCAAAGCTAAGCTAAGCCAAGCTAAGCTAAGATGAGAGATAAGCTAAGCTAAGCTAAGCTAAGCTAAGCTAAGCTAGGCGAGGCTAGGCAAAGCTAAGCTAAGCTAAGCTAAGCTAAGATGAGATGATATAAGCTAAGCTAAGCTAAGCTAAGCTAAGCTAAGCTGAGCTAAGCTAAGCTAAGCTAAGCTGGGTGAACCCAGGGGGCGTAACTGGGGGAACCGCGGGGCGGATCCTGGGGGAACCGCCCGGGGCGATTTACACTGCCCGGCCCCTTTAAGATAGAGAGTAAGAACCCTTCTAGGCAGAGCCTAGGTAGGGAATTAAAGGCAAAGCAATGCGATGCAAAACAATTAAATGCAAAGCAGAGCAATGCTCACCAGCACAATGTCGTTTGCGGAGCCATGCCTGCGCAAATCCGTCGGAAAACAACCAAGTGAAAAACAACGCAATACAATGCACAATGACGCAAGAGACCGTAAGAACCCAACGGTGCTGGAGCCTCAGAGATCCCAGAACTAAGGTGTGCAGAATAAAGGGTGGATGCCCCCATTCCGCCGTCGCCAAACATCCATATGACGCTAGCGCACCAGCCCGTCCCTCTCCTCGTCCCCCTCCTCATACTCCTGCTCCCTCTCGCAATCGATCCTCCGGTCGGTCGGCTGGCCCCAGCCGGCGACCGTTTAGATTGCCACGCAGGCTTCTTACTGGGAAAGGGAGAGGTCCCGCCAGCCCTCTGGGCGCAGGCGGTCTAACAAAATGTCTGTCTTCCCACTTCCAAGAGCCCCTCTTCCCCTTCGGGGAGGGGTTTACCCCTTACCCCCTCCCCTGGACCTGGACGGGGGGGGCCGCGAGGTGTCAGAGAGTCCTCTTTGGCCCAAGATGGCCCCAAGAGGGTTCCAGAGAGCCCAGGATGAGCTGCAAGATCGCTCAAGATAGCCCACCATGGCCCAAGATAGCTGACAGCATGCCTCCAAGAGGCCCCAAGAGGGCCACAAGGCGGATCCAAGTGCTTTTGGAGTCCCCGAGAAGCCAAAATCCTTCAACAACCAAAGGGAAATCTATGATTTTGGCCTTCTCGCCTCTTCGCTTCCGATGCGCGTTTGAGGCCTCAAGATGGCCCTAAAATGGCCAGCCCACGAGAGCTCCAAGAGGGGCCAAAGAGGCCCCCAAGACGGCCCGAAGAGCGCCCAAGATCGACCCAAGAGCGCCCCAAGAGGGCCCCCAGAGGCGATTTCGAGAGCTCTTAGGGGGGGGCCTAGATGAAGGATCCTCCCTTTTTGATCGATGGCCTCAAAGATGGCCCCAGGAGGCCCTCAGAAGCTCACAGGAGAGTCCCAAGAGAGCCCCAAGAGGACCCCAAGACGCCCCAAAGAGCCCCAGGAGGACCCCAAGAGGACCCCAAGACCCCCCAAAGAGCCCCAAGATGTCCCCAAGATGCAGCAAAAGAGCCCCAGGAGGACCCCAAGACGCCCCAACAAAGCCCATAGCTAGAAGAAAACCTCCGATGTTCCAAGATAGCCTCCAACATGGCTCAACACGTTCCTCCCCCTCCTCTCTTTCACCGCTCTGTTTCAGTATACGCGTCTCTGCTTTCCATGTCCCGTCAGCTCTCGAGGGCAGGGCTTCTGAATGGGCTGGCGGGGACTCGCGAAGCGTAAAAAATAACGAATTTCCACCCCCAGGCTCACAGGCAATAACTGTCACAGGTAGCCCCCAGTCCATCGGCCACGCGACCGGAACAAGCTATCGGAGGTGAGGGGGTGAGATCGAAGTGGAACGGAGAGCCCCCCTACCGGGAAATCGGTTTCGGTTTCGTGTTCGTGCGTGCCGTGCGTGCGGGCGAGGATAAGCTGCGTGGGCGGGCGAGAAGGAAGTCTCCTCAGGCTGAGGCGCGGCCGCACCAAATGTTTCCTTTCCGGGGGCCGGTGGGGCGCGGTGTCCCGCCGGTGTCCCGCCTCCGGCTGAGGCGCGGCCGGACCAAATGTTTCCTTTCCCGGGGCCGGTGGGGCGCGGTGTCCCGCCGGTGTCCCGCCGGTGTCCCGTCGGTGTCCCGATGATGATGATGATGATGATGATGATGATGATGATGATGATGATGTTGATGATGGTGATGATGCTGATAATGCTGATGATGATGATGATGATGATGGTGATGATGGTGATGGTGCCCCGATGATGATGGTGTCCCGATGATGGTGATGATGATGATGATGTTGACGATATTGATGATGATGTTGATGATGATGGTAATGAAGATGGCCATGGTGATGATGATGGTGCCCCGATGATGATGATGATGATGATGATGTTGATGATGATGATGATGTTGCTGCTGATGAAGATGGTGCCGCGATGATGATGATGCTGATTTTGGTGAGGTTGATGACGGCAAGATGATGATATGGCGATGATGCTGATGAGGATGATGAAGATGACGATGGTGTCCCAAGATGATGATGGTGGTGATAATGATGACGCTATTGATGATGATGATGGTGATGGTTGTGACCTGGTGATGATGATGTTGACGATGACGCCAATGATGGTGTCCCGATGATGATGGTGATGATTATGAGGATGATGATGAAGTGATGATGATGATTTTGATGATGGTGATGGTACGATGATGACGATGCTGATGTTGATGAACATGATGACGGTGCCCCGATGATGAAGATGATGATGATGATGATGGTGGCGATGATGATGGTGCCCCGATGATGATGTTTTGCATGATTATGATGATGAGGTGATGATGATGATGCTGTTGTAGGCGTTCCGATACTGATGATGGTGATAATGATGGTGTCCCGATGATGATGCTGGTGGTGATGATGATGATGATGTTGATGATGATGGTGATGAAGTGACGATGATGATGGTGTCCCGATGATGATTATGATGACGTTGATGACGATGAGGTTGATGATGATGACATCGATTGTGAGATCCACTGTGGTAAGATCGATCGTGCGACCGAATGCGAGATCGACAGTGGGATTGCTAGTGATATCGATAGTGAGATCGATTGCGATATCGATAGTCAGATCGATTGTGAGATCGATCGAATGAAGC